GTGTGTTTTTATAATCATCATATTTTATTACGTATCGAGAGAAAGAGAATGCAAATCTTATAAAAATATTATATATATCAGATTAAAGAAAAATTGTATATGAATTGTATCAAAAGTTGTATTGAAACTTATTCTATATAAAGCTTTTTTTATTATACTGGGTGTTCCAAAATTCGCGATTTAAAATACCATATCAAGAAAGTTGTCGAAAAAAATAAATTAAAAAGTATTTGCCATTTTTCATTTCCAGCAGTATAGTTTTAAAGGTCCAAGTATAGTTTTGAACCTTCCTATCTAAACAAATACTGCTCGAAATATGGCCAATACTTTTTTAACTTATTTTTTCGATAACATTCTTGCTACAATATTTTTATTTGCGAATTTCGGATAGTTTGGCCTGTCTCACTTCGTGCTAGCTGTCAGTGGCAATTGAATTTTAACTCCTGTCAAAGAGGTCGTATATAAAAAGAAGTTGTTTTTAAACAATGTTAATAGAATGAAAGAGTGATAATAGCTAAAAGTAATATTTACAATGCTTAAGAACAAATGGCGCGCGCGAAGCGCTGTTCTAGGTAAATTTAAATAATAGATTGTGTATCATACACTAAAAATTTATGTGGCATAAATAATTATTTTCTGACCCAGTTAGTTTCAGTCGTGAAACATTGCACAGGTATTTTCTTGTCTCGCGATTAAAAAGTTTGCATTAATAGCCAACAAAGAAAATACATTTTTACGTCCATATAAAGGTTGCATAAATTTCTGACAAGAATCATGATATTCACCCGCTTACGCACAATATAAGCACATTATGCATATACTTGTAATAATCACATTACGCAGTCGTGTATCTCGCGTGCACGGGACTACGATAAGAAATGTACAGCAATGCATCCTCATTCATGTTATATTTATTTTCAAACATTTATATTATTTACAACGTTTACTACTCGCAATTTTTGTGCAACGATCTTTAATATGAATTACGAGATGTATAAGTAGGGAGAAAATTTATGTGTTGAATTATGCGAGATATTATCAGGTGTAACGTTTTACAATTAAGACATCTATCTATTATTTCGACATTATCTTGATCAAAAATAAATTTTATCTGCCTTAAGAATTATTTTTCGCAATTACAGATGTTATTTAGATTACTTGCTTGGAACGTTAATGAATCTCCCTTATTAAACGTTTTTATTCCGTCATAGGTGACGATGTCGTATATGGAAATTTACAATGAAAACATTCGCGATCTTCTCAATCCTACTTCGGGATATCTGGATCTACGCGACGATACTCGTGGTCGCAACGTTCAAGTCTCAGGATTGACGGAAATCTCTACCAATTCGACAGAAGAGGTATTTAATTATTTACTATAATATACAATAGTGGGTTTAAGAAGCAAGTGTATTAAAAATGATCATATTATTAATTTAAATTTAAAATTAAAATAAACCGAAGTGAAGAGACTCGCGAAATATTAAACTTATAAATTAAACACAGTTAATAAGCCAATAGAACCTAATAAATTAATAACACGTACAAATTAAATTCTAAGTGAATATAATTAAAATACAATGAAAAGAGAGTCACTAAAAGAAGTTATTAATCACTGAATAAAGAGTGTAAGAATCAAACATTTTAATCTTCTTTGAGATTAATCTTCAGTGGAAGTAAATAATATAATGTTACTTATTCGTTTAGCAGTCTGTTAATGCATTTTATTACATATTAAAGTGTATATGTATGTATAATGCTGATTTTGAGAGCATGCAGTATGTATTATTTGTTTAAAGAATATGGAGCAGGTATATATCAATTATGTTATCTTTACATATGAATAAAATAGTTATGTGTTGTGTGCAGCGTGTGATCAAAATCAGCTTCGTACCTCGTAATTATCTATATATATGTTGCCAACGGGCAGGTGACGTTGGAATGACTTACATTAACAAAAGATAATCTCTTAATGGTTGCTGTAATGTGACTGTTACATGTAAATTCAATAAGTAAAACTAAACATAAAACGAATTCAAGTAAAAGAGGCGGCATCTTTGAATCGTTAAGTACAAGGGTAATCCAGCAGGTGGGTCCCGAATTCTTTCGAAGCTTCGAATCTTCGAAGTTATCAAAAGTAACAGTCCTAACGTTTATAATTATTACAAATTCTTCCTAGGAAACAGTACAATTTAGTTATTTTCGTAAAGTTGTATAGGAAGATTATACAATCTTACTTTGATAAAAGTTGCAATCCGCGATTCGACAAATTTACATATGTGTCGCATTTTGTTAAATATAGTGAAATTATTTCTAAAAATATTATATTAAAATACACTGCATTGAGAAAAGTTATATTGTTGCATGCATACTCAATATTGTTGTAATTTCCTTTAAATGTTAATTTTACAGTATCATGTTTTTTTACATATTTTCTTCGGATAAAAATATTGATCTGACTTTTATAAATTTTATAAATCTCTTTAGAGATGAATTTGTGTTAAAAATTATAATTTTACCATAAATTATATGCAAGGATATTTTAAAAACTTATTTTTCCGAACCATTATAACATACTTAATAAAATATGTATAGAAAAAAATTATTTTTAAAACTTCTCGATTAAATTATAAATAATTATAAGTATAACTAAAAAAAATGCACGCCCCATTAAAAAATTAGTAATAAGAAAAAGAAACATGTGAGTAGGCAATCTTGACCTATGTCGTATAATTGTACTGCATTCGTTTAAAGTCGGACGATCTTGAGTGGTTTATTTAATATTTACAGGTAATGCAGTTGTTACACAGAGGTAACAAAGCGAGGACAGTAGAGCCGACTGCCGCCAATAAAACTTCGTCACGAAGTCATGCACTTCTCAGTGTTACTATTAAACAATTCTATCGTCAAGATGATGATCAACATATGCGCAACAAGATGAAACAAGGGAGATTATTCATGATAGACCTCGCCGGATCTGAACGGGCTAAGCAAACAAAGGTAATTTTCTTCTCGTTTTTTCTCAAATTGTGTAGAATTGTGAGTGTTACAATTATTTTTGTATTAATTCGTGCCTTTGACTTATTTTAGTAGCAAGCGAGATTGATTTTTTTAATTATCTTCATAAAAAATGTGCATAAATCCTTAAAAAACATTGATTTAAGGAGCCGATCTTCTGTACTATCATATGCTTCTTATGTTATTAATTTGCGACATTTGACTCACGCCCTGTGCCGTGGCAAATTCGAACCATTACTTTTCAATTTTGCATGCTCTCGTTTTGTCATCCGCCATTTTGAACAAATTGTTGCAGACAATTGCGATATAAAATTTCGAAAAATGGAAATTCTTTAAAATACGTTTTGTAAAATCCTGCTAACTGTATTAGGTGCCCAAGTAGAACAAGTTAATCACAAAAACGTCAATGTGACATTAAAATGGTGACTTTTAAGTCATAAAATGATCGACATCAAGATTTACTTTGCAATAACTGATTTATGACATGCTGTTGTACGATATTCGTGACGTGTGTAATAATATATTATTACAGATTACATAATCAGTCATATATTATATTTATCTTATATTACTTCAATTTATTTTCAATGTATAATATTTCATTAACTTTGCTTTGTAAAACAAGATCATTTTTACAACATTTTGATGCCTTAATGATGTCACAAATAGGTACTCTTGGTGGACTATTTTGACGTCACCATGATGCATAAAAAATGATGAAAAAGTGATGTTATCTTGATGTTTTCACGACTAATACGCTCTACTTGGGTGCTGAGGTATTCAATTTTGAATTTCTAATAACGCCGAATTGCAAAAATAAGAATTCCATGGTTCGTGGCGTGAGTCAAATGTCGCAAGTCAATGGTATTAAATAAATTATCGGAATCTCTCTATTAATTTAATTGAATTCGTTATTATAGAACAAAGGCAAAAGACTGCAGGAAGGCGCGCATATCAATAGATCCCTTCTGGCGTTGGGTAACTGCATCAATGCTCTGTCTGGAGGAGCACGATATGTGAATTATCGCGATTCCAAACTTACCCGATTGCTGAAGGATGCTCTAAGTGGTAATTGCCGTACCGTTATGATCGTTCACGTGTCACCAATGAGCGCGCATCGCGACGAGAGTAAAAACACTCTGATTTACGCGGACCGCGCCAATAAGATCTCCAATAAGATCGAGCGAAACGTATTGGACGTCAGTTACTTACATGTTGCACAGTACCGTGATGTAATCAGCGATCTGAAAAGTGAGATCTCACGCCTGCGGAATAAAATGACGGGCGAGAGACCGAGGCTGACGGAGAAAGAAACTTTAAATGACACGCGTGGCAACGATTTCAAATCGTTAAGAGAGAAAATTATTTCCGCATTTAAGGAGCAAATGCGACTGCGGTGCGTATGTGTGAATGCAATATTACATAAAAATCCAAAGTCTGCTAGTATTGTAAAATAGAATTTACTGCATTTTTGGTATTTGTGAAATTTCACACATTACATAGTGTAAAACTATTTCTAAAAACATTAAATAACTGGGGTTATTTAAAAAATTCTTGGAATGAATTACAGATAGTCGTCACACAAAGACGTCATACGTTGGAAAATTTCACCCTTCTATGAACGCGTATAAGTTCCAATTTGTTCTATCAAATAGATTAATATTTGATAGATCCTTGAATGAATATATACGTGTGATTTTTTACTTAACAAATTGGAATTTTATAATGGGATAACGGCTTATTGTTAGTGGTTTACACCGTGTTTTGTTCGTGCAACCTGGCCTATATCCTGACCTAAAGTAAGTTTTCAATAAAACGGTTACACCATTTAAACTTATAATACTTTTGGGTCGAATAAAGGTAACATAGATAAAAATTAAGAATTCTTTTTAGTGACGAGGGAGGGGGCGATTGTACAAAATTCTAGTAAGCATCAAAACATTTACATCGTTTATCGATTTAGAAGTGTGTGAATTTTACTGTTCCACCAAAAAAAATGTGTTAACCGAAAGTATTCGGCGAGCAGGATATTTTGGAAACGGTATATCAAAATTCACACGGTAAACCGTGGGGCCACCTACATCTTGCTCAGGGGCTCGATTCTTGAATTTATTCAAAGAAGAAACGTATGCGAAAATTCTGCTCTTACAGAAAAGTTGCAAGTCGATTGGCTATTCGCATGGCTTTAACCAATCGACTTGCAACTTTTCTGTCAGAGCAGAATGTTCGTATACGTTTCTTCTTCGAATAATTTCGAGAATCGGGCCCCAGACCGTATTGACTTTCTTATTGATTTAAATCATATCGGTCGAGTTTTAAATCTTCATTATTGTGAAAAATTAAGTCTTCACGTGAACGTCATCTGTTTAATGTTTGGTAATCCTTAGATCACGTGCGTTTATATGCGTTATATCATGCGGCGTCAGATCAGGGTAAGCAAAAAAGAAACATGAGGCTCGATTCTCAAATTCATTCGAAAAAGATACGTGTGCGAAAATTCTATTCTTGCAGAAAAGTTGTAAGTCGATTGGCTATAGAAAAGCTATGCGAATAGCCAATCAATTTGCAACTTTTTTGTAAGAGTAAAATTTTCGTATACATTTTTCTTTTAAATAAATTCAGGAATCGAGCCTCTGACTCAAGCCAGATCAAATGGTTTATCAACTGTTTACGCCGTCACGAGACGTACGTGAATAGGTTGAATATAAAGTGTACATAGCGGCCTAAACACACGGTGCAAACTAGAAGCATACATGGCTTAAATTGCATTCATATAAATGTATTATAGAGATTATGTTAAAAAAGAAAAATATAAAATGATAAAGAGAGCTGTTTTTGTAGTTCACTCCGAGAACTATTCAAATGACTGATATTTTATCTAGAAAGATAAAGGAAGACATAGAAATTATCGTTCGATCATACGACATATTTGATTGTTTTAATTATTTTTGTCCCCATCTACAAAATACAATAAAATTCATTACGTTATTTTATCTATTTTGTCAGTAACAAATATAAATATAGAAATATGCCTCTTCAGAATCATCAATTCAAAGAAAACAAACTTGGTCTTCTAATCCTTCAGAAATTAAAAAATGTCCCTGACCTTAATCGTTTAATTTAAATTTAAAATGATACGGCAGGCGAAAGCTGATGGAACTGGACAGCAATCTTCTGAGCCTGAATATTGCTGCTGAACAACAGCACTCCATAATCTCTCACTGGGAATCAAGAAATAATAGAGTATACGGAAAATCACGAGATTCCAGTACACATCGCTCTAGCACGGATTACCAGGTGGACGAAATAGACGACGTGGGTAAGCGACTATCAAGCTATTATATAATATAAATCGTGTTATTAATTATTATTTAAAACTTGTTATTAAGTATTATATTACTTTGATTAGATCCACCCCACGTTTCCGCCTGCCTTCAGGGCGAAAGGTGGGGTAAATATCGATAATTGTAGAATGAGTGTTTCTTCACTGAAAAAAATTTCTGGTTGAATATGGACGAATCAGATAATTCCTTTAGGATTTACCAGAATTCCTGTAATCCTACAGAAATTCTGGTAAATCCTAAAGGAATTCTGGTAAATCCTAAAGGAATTATCTGATTCGTCCATATTCAACCAGAAATTTTTTTCAGTGTTGAGGCGAGACGTTTTCTCCCTGAAAGCAGGGAGAAACGTGGAGTGAATCTCGCTTCAAGAAATAATTTTAATCATATTCGTTAAGCTTATTTCGTTAATAACTGTCAAGGTCATTCAAGATGACTCCGCTATACTGAATAATTATTCGTTACGTGAAAACATTTATGAAACAATTTCTAAACCACTGTGTGCTGTTTGGTGGAAGTAACCTCGCCAGCAACTTTAAATGCTTGCCATGTCTAAACTATTTGTTGTACTAGGTTAAAAAATTTACTGAACATTCTTCAAGCATCCTGAAATATGGGTCGAAATATTTTTTATTTTTATTTTGACATTTTAATTTTAATTTTAAAAAGTCGCGAATGTTAAAACCCGAAAAACGACTTTTTTCACTTGAGAATTCATGACTCTTTAAATTTTTTTAATTTTTGTAAAAAATTTGAATGGTGTATCTCAGAAATGTGACGCTTTAAGAAAAAAATTAATGTATTATAATACTGTACGTTCCAAAAAAGGAATTTTTTTTTAAGAATGAGGTTGGTGTTTTTAGAGAAAAATGAGAAGTGCACTTATTACCGAGAAATGTATTTATTTTATACATATAATTATTTTTACTCTTGTAAAGAGAGAAGATATTCAACCTTATATTGTAAGAAGTTGCCATGCAAACTAGAAAAAATAATGCATACTCTCGCGAATTTCCTTCAGTCTGCCCCTGCATTACGTATTATATTAGTTCGCTGAGTTGTTTGCAGTAAAAAAAACTGATAATATCTTTATGACTGCTTAGATCTTTTAGACGATGATCTGGAGGATGACGTAATCGTGCAGCAAGCGTGGGCAGAACTGACGGAAATCACAAGAGAGCAGGAGAGATGTGCCGAAATGCGCGCTGCTGCGGAAAAAGAACTCGAAGCCTGCCGAAAGTGCAGCGCTACGCTCGAAGATGTAAGACTTTGCCATTATTATTATTTTAATCATATATTATTGAATAAAACTAAATTTAAAAGATAGAAAGAATAAAGATCTGAATAAGAGCGCAGATCTTTATCGTATAGTATATCAATAGGGTAGACGAGGCAAATCGGATCACTTTTTGTTCAATACTAATACTAAACTGTAAACAATGTGCACCCAATAGCTTTTGCTTTAGGAGTGGAGGAAGAAAGATGAAGTAACTCGGGCACCAGAATAATAAGTTTCGATCGGAATGTAACAAATGTAGTTTCAATCCTGATCCAATTCGCCTCAGTTTATCCTATAGAACCATAGAAACAATAGGCTTGTTCGTGTTGCTTGAAATTACTAAACATTTCTGTATTTTACAATAAGATAAATATGTGTGTATGTATTTGGCGTTGGAAAGATAGAAAACGAAGATTTTAAGTTCAACAAGTGCAGGCAACACAGACTCAATGATAACATTTAATAAAATGAAATTTCGATCGAGTACGTTCAGAGAAAGCTTATTGCTCAAGAACACCATGCTATTTTCTCCAGCAACTACCCTCACGCATCAACTCGGATGAGGAGCGTGAGTTGTTAGCGTTGATGCTGCGAGTTCACGAGCTCGAGGCAGACAAAATGATGTTGCAGAGCGAAAGGCTAGTCAAACAGCACGAACTCAGACGTCGCGAGCTATTGCTGCTCCGTTACGATCGGCAGCGACAAATTTCCGATGAGATTATTACTAGGCAACGACGGATTATGGAAGGTTAGTAGCATAATCAGACCTCCAGTTCTTAATTGTTCCTATCTTTGAATGGTCTTCATACAATCAATATAACTTCTAGCTGATGTTTACTGGGTAGTAAATGATGATATGTTGTGTTCATTTTAAAACTTTATCACATACAACTGACTTGTTCGATATTTTTCATGAAGTTGCACTATGACGTATAGAGATCCATCATACTTATTTAATTAAACATACAGTTCTATAAATACAATTTTAGAGCCTATTTTTCTGCATGACATGTATAAATAAAAGTTAAACATTTTCATTTGATTTATGGGAATTTAAATAATAGACGGTCGTTTGGCGCTTCCGCCCGATCTGCAAAATCTCTATGCCATGTATCAACAAGAGATCCAAGCCACTACTTATGTCAGTAGCAGCCTCGGCGACCTCGTCGTGTCACCAACCGTGTCATCCTTCAGTCGCGGCAAGTTACCACCCATATCCAGCAGACTCGGCATTTACAATCTTAGTAGTGATTTGAGAATAGCCAGTAGGTAAGTAAAATTATATATGCTGTTGTTAAACAGTCTTTCTCTTTAATATTAATTATTAGGCACCTCTCCCTTATCGATGAAACAAAATCACTTACTTATTATAGCAAATAAACTAAACTGTGCTTCGTGCAAAAATACTTTGTTCTTACCGACGAAACACGAACTTTTATCCACAAAAATCGATACGTATAACACAACAATGTGAGATTGATAATATGTAATAATGACAGAAACGATCACTCTTATATGCCTCGGGGGATCCCCATTGGGAAAAATAATATTTGTAAAATGTTCTTCATAATTTTTGAAAAACATTATTTAAATTATTTAAATATACTTAAATATATAAGACTACATAAACATTAAATAAATTTTCTTTAAATCATTATTTGAAATGAATTATTAATGCAACATAAATATGAAGTAAATTTTTAATATACGTTGAATAAATAATTTCTCTGCATTTTTATTTTTAATGTAAAATAAAATGTTAAATAAATATTTAATATTCATTTAATAAATATTTCAGTACAACACATTGGACAATGTATAATTAATAAAAAGTAACTATAAAAAAACATTTTACAAACATTGTAGTCTCATTGGGTCGCGTGCGAGCGTGAATTTTTTTATGATTTCTAAGAACACCCGTTATGCATCCTTCTTTGCTCGTCGTCTATACTTTCTGTCACTCACCGTGGTTATTATGCGGCCTATCGATTTTCTTCGTAGTTGACCATTTTCCATATTTTTTCGTTCTCCAGTCCATTAACAAAATTATGCTAAATTACATTCTCGTCTCGCTCAGAGAAACTAATGTATGTACATACCTATGTATATATGTATACATATTAAAAAGAAGAATTATTTGGAGAAACAGTTCCACGGATTCCGATTGGGATTCGCCGCTACCACCGATTCAAGAGCCGCAAGAAGTGGAACACGTGATGGGGCCAGTAGTGCAACCGTTAATTTCACCGGCTGCCTTATTTCCGCCAATATCGGCGACAAACTTACGAAATCAATGAGAACATTTCGTTTATATAATTATTGATATGCAAAATATTGTATATTGTATTTAAATATACATAGATGATCCTGATAATTTTGGCGACAAACTTAATAGTTCAACCTTTGTTTTTGTAATAAAAAATTATGCGAAAGAATCTCAGAGCACGATAACTTTTATAGCTAGTATTATACTCGCTACTGGACATATAAAAATTGGAAATATACTTTTATATAAAAATATGTCTGTCGCTAATGGTATAAAGATTAAATTTTAGCTTGGCCTAAAAACTTAGTTTTGTTAATCATGTATAATGTGTATTGATATGTACAACTGAATTAATAATATGTTAAATGCGCTTAATGGAAGTAATTTTAGCTTTGAGTTTTATCCTTATTATATTCTATTTTTGTCAATAACTTGAGAAGAAATAATTATAATATTTGGTTTTTAACTTAATTTTTAACGTTTAGAATACTTTTGTAATTGCTGTCTTTCTATCGCCAAAATTATTAGAATCTTCAAAATGCACTCAAAGTTGTTTTTTACTAACCCTTTCACTATTAATGGGTTTAGTAGTTTCCCGCAGACATATCTCTGTGTACGAATGGCCATTATAGTACATAGCTGTTCAATCTACCGCTGCATTCACTGCGTACAAACAGCTATTATAATTTACAGTCGATAAATGTAAATAAAATATAGTATTATAAATGAGAGGTTATTATAAATATATTTAAAAAATTTGTGTTCAAAAATTTGAATTTTTAATATCATGAACTTTTGTCGATTTAAAATAACTTAAATAGAACAATTAATAAATTGTATAATGTGTTTGTACCTATGTAAGTTGGACTACATATTCCTGTAGTAAAGCGTATATACTCATGGTTTGTTGTTCTGTACAACAACAATGCATATGTATGCGGCCTAGCGTTAATTAAGAGTCAATTAAGGAAATCAGCATTTCATTTTTAATTGGTAATACTGAAAATATTTTGCATTTAATAGCATAAATCGAAACAAATCGAATTTATTTCTCCTTTCCATTTAACTTGTCACAGTATGTCTTTCGTTGACTCCAAAATTTTTGTTAATTTTAACTACAGTTTTTCTTAGACAGTAAATTGAAAAATAGAAAAGAAAAAATAATTGCAATAAAATACAATAGAAATATAGAAGATTGTCAGATTTGAGCTGTTTAATCTGTTTTAGTATACAAATATCAGAATTACATAAAAACATTTATGGCGATCAGCTTTTACATCAAAAACTGAATATGACAATATTACTTATAAAGCTGTTCACTTATGATAGGACAGACATAGCACCAGGCGCGCAAATCTTGACTTGCCAATCCGACAAGTTGAACAGATGTGTTGCTTTTCCTGCCCAATGGAATTTAGATTTAATGGAATTCGTTTTCCAACAAACAGTTAGTTTACCAGATGCATCACTGGAATGTCCCGTCTTAAATGGTTGTGTAGTGACACACAGATGTGCCATATGTTTTAAGGCATTAGCAACCGTATCTGCGTCCGAAGTTTGCATATTTCCTTGATACACATGTGCAAGAATACAAAGCTGTGACGTGGGATACAATACTACAAATGATCTTAAATATCTTATAAAATACATTGTATCACGGACACTAAGACCGAGATCAAGGAAGTGGTTTATGTCATCAATAATAAGGACAACAGATTTGTGTGCCGTAAACCTTGCTGCTTCTTCATACTTTTCTTTAACGCATGAAAACAGCCTATGTACAATATCTATACGTTTCATAGAAGTAACTTCTGGTATTATTGTTTCCGTTCTATCTACGAAATCGTTGCATATATCGGTGACATTACTGGCTATAATTTTCATTGGCTCGACAACTGTGATCTGGCCATTATCTTTTAGATCAAGAAGATTGTAGCCAAATCTCATGCCAATGTTGTGATAGTGACTAAAAGTATTATGACAAAGAACGAGGCAAACAGCAGCGTTCATCTTTTTCAAAGTATGTGATAAAATGGCATTTACTAAGAAATTTGCGTTGGTACCATGTTGTTCCTCAATCAAGATTGTTTTACCATCCATGTTTACTCTGTCTATTCCAAGAATGTTGCACACTGTTTCCATTGAGCTAGCCATAGTAAACTGAAAAATAAGGGCACATTATTATTATATGTATCACAAAAATAATACAACTAATGTCTAACCTACTAGGTCACCGAATTGTATGTACATACATCTATAAACGCCTTATTTTTTTATAACCTATAAAGTGATAAAAAATGTTATAAAAATTACATGCATTTTAATCACAATCTACATGTAATTTAATAACAAACTACATTATCAACAAAACCTTATTCCATTAAGGATTATCTACATTTTACGTACCTGAGGTAAAGCCAGCGGTACACAATGCTCTTCTGCTCCTGCCCACTGGACGCGGTAACCACAGTATAACCAGTAGTTGCACT